AAAAAAAATAACCTAATTTTATAGCAATAATCTCATGAGAAATTATAAAGTAAATATTTATATATATCTAATATAGATACTAAGTATTTAAAATTAACATATGCATGTATGATAACATTGTTTTGTTGATTATTATTATCAAGGTCTAGAATTCAAAACCATTAAAACAAACATTATTATAAAAAGTAATATAATATATGTTAAAACCCAAAAACTAAGTTATAATTTTACTGASGTAGATAAGTAACTTAATATACCTATTACTCATATTGATATCTAAAAAAATAATAATACAAATTAAAAACATATTTATGTACACTGTTATGATAATTCATTAAAAGAAGTTAGTATATTACAGTTTTGTTGTAGTAATGAACACTTTTTGAGTATCAATAAACAACAATAAAATTAATCAATTTGCTCAATTATATATGCTGATAATTTTCAATATGTTACTCGGAATTCAAGGTTGCTTATTTTAAAAATTATGTGTACGCTTTTTCATTTCATTCAAGTTTAATGTTATAAAGAATTTTTTTTATATTTCTGACTTAGAGAAAAAACATAATATGCTAAGATCTTCTATTTCAATATTATTCAATTTTTGGGAATTTTTGTCTTATAATTTCATTCTATTATGATCAGGCTCAGATTAACCCAAAAGCAAAAAATGCATGTACGTTTGGCTCCAAACGTGTATGTGTCTCATGTTTTACATATATTATCCTTATAACAAATAATATTCAGCAGTGTTTTAAATAAATGTTCAATAAACCAATAGGAAATTATGATTATTTTATCGCCTGCGTTATACAATCTGTACTGTACTATTGAAAAAACATCATTTGATAATGTTTTAAAGCAGAATTTATTATACAATGTACCATATTATTAATTTGGTAATTAAAAATGTCTTACAGCTTATTACAAAATTATTTTCTCATAAGTTTAATTTTAAGAAAATTTGGTTGTGCTTTGATATATACTCTACATTTAGATGTATACATTGGGCTACAAGTTGGTTCATGCAGTTTGCCCATTTTTTTTTAGTGTACTCCTATATTAGGTGTGAGTATACAAGGTATAATAATATGACCTGATAAATTAAATAACTT